TGTCACATGATTGTTGTTTTCCAGCTAAGTTACTGATGGCTGTGTGCTTGTGCAGAGAAGCTGATAATTTTTTATAGAATCTGTTTCTAGCAAACGGGTTATTTTTGGCCAGTTTTTACATGAAGCATGTCGAAGAAGGTGATTTTGATGAAACACTTTGCTTTGCAGCTTAGATTTGGTCAAAAAGTTCACAATTTGGTAATTCTCTCTGTTTTGACAGCATCTGATTGATAAATGGTGTCATTTTGGCTGATATATACATTTTTAAAGGTGCCTCTCAAACATGCTGCCGCTTTTTGGGGTTCAGAGGCTAATTTAATTATTTAATCAACTGATAATATTCCCAGACAGATTTCCTGGACTGATGAAGTGTTTGTATTTCCAGCAGCTGGATTAACTGCAGTGAACAGGTCGCTGCATCATGAAGATCAGCTGTGAGGATTATTATTCTGATATCAAGCTGCTGGGAAGAGATCAATAACGTTATTATTATTATTATTATTATTATAAAGTTATTTGCTCTGGAAGACTGCAGCTGCGTTTAATAATTTGCATTTTATCGGGTCAATGACTGAACAGCAAATTTGAATGAATATTTTTTTTTTTACAATTTATATTTCACTATTTACAAACACAGCAAACATTAAGTGTTAAAAAATATTTTGTCAGCTTTTGCTAAATGACCTATTAGTTCAACCATTAATGGATTATTAATGATTAACCTTTAAACTTTGCATCCATTGTTGAGGTAACAGTTTTTGTGCTGTGCAGTTTAGAGGAAAACGTTGAACTTAATCTGACAGCTTTTTACAAATATCAGAGGTTTTCATACAAAACAGAAGAACAACTGATCAAACGTGAAGGTTTGTTATAAATTAAAGTCCTGACTGTACATCTAAGAAGTGTTCAAACCATTTTAAGTCACTTTTCCTACAAACGTGCTACAAATATTTAACATTTGCAACTTTTAAAATGTGAAGATTTGCTTGTTAATTTCAGTTAATTGTTGGTTTGACCGAAAGCAAGTGCTGAGAGGAGGTTTTTACTTGATGCAGAACAAAGAAAATACAGTAAAAGAAGAAGTAGTTTTAGGAATAACGAAAAGAAACGCTCTCAACAGAAGCAGGGAACCAGCAGGGAAGAGCTGGCAGCCACCAAAATATTAATATAAAATTAGATTTCAGAGAATCCAGAAACGCAGGCGTAGCGCATAAAACCGGCATTAGATGAATGTTACAGATTGTGAAAGTAAATTAGAAACGACAGCCACCTTCAGCTGACCATCTGAGGGTTTCATAAGTCTTACAAACCCAATAATCAATTACAAAATCAATAATATAATATTCTAATAATTATCTGCAGCCTGTAAGATAATCAAAATCAGCACCAGCTCTTCAGATTTGCCACAAAAGCTTCACTAATAATGTCTAATAATAATAAATAACAGGATAACTTTCACATGTAAGGTCTCTGGACTGATTTTAAAACCTCTCCCCTCATCGCAAACTCAACTTTAAAAATACAAAATGAGCCTGAAGCTTAGTTTTTATTTTGCAACCTGAAATCCACATCCAGGACTCTTCAGCCACAGTTCACGTCTGTAGCTGCACCATCAACGAAAAGTAGCCCTGAACAAGATGAGCTTCACTGCTGCTGTAAACCAAAGAAGGAAATGTCAAGAAAAGATGAAAGAGAATGCGTAGAAGCCAAACGACGTTCAGAAAGAGCTCCAGAGCTTTAGGCTCAGTTTCCAGGACTTTAATGAAATCGAATCCTGAACCAAATGCTTTTCAGGACGGCGGTCTTAAAGAGACAGGAGCTGAAAGGAAGCATTTCAGGCAGAAGAAGAGCTGCAGTGGTGTTCAGAATGTGTTTCTGAACATTAAAGCAGGTAGACATGTTATCTAGAGCCCAAAAAAACATTTTTAAATCTGTAAATGTGCAGAATTTGGGCCCTTTAAAAGAGACAAATGAAGCAATTTGATGAGACCAAGTGTAGAAGGAGGACTTGATGAGGCTGATGAACTTTAATTCTCAGAGATGTGCTGATAATCACATTATATCAGAGGCAACCTGCTGCTGTGGACTGCAGCTGGTTAATGCTTTATACTAACAGAGCGCTGGGTTCTGGCTCGCTCTGCTGCCAGATGAAGTGGATCAGACTCTTTATTAATGGTGGAAGGAAGATGAAGTGTAAACTCGGGGTGGCGGCGTCCTCCCTAACGGAAGCAGGGCTCGGCCTCTTCTCACACTGATGTGTCGTTACGTCCCACGTCAAGCCCAGTCTGATCTGAGGACAGTCAGAGGCACCGCTCGGTTCTTCTTCAGCTGCATATAAACTGCTGCTGCTGCTGCCGACGGAGGACGACCTGAGCAGCTGGAGCAGCTGGAGCAGCGGTAAGTGACATCCTCACCCTGTCCCACATGTATTCACACCGTTCTGTTATACGTTGTAGTGAGGTTTGGGGCTGTGCAGGTCATCTGTTGCTCACTATTTACACTTTTTTTTACATGACAGCTTATTGCACACATCATAGATTTTTTTTTTGCATACTTCTTATTATCTGTATTTTATCTTTTTTATTACCTCACTAAGTCTTCAGTATGTTTAAGTACTGAAGTTAATTGAGCATGAGTTTAATTTTCAGTGTCAGATGTTGGTCCCTGACTGTGATTGTAGCTGCAAAGAGGATTAATAACGAATCTGTCAAATTAGCTCACAGCAGAGTTTACAGCTTAACACTGTCAGGAAGTTCTTATCATTAATTTACTGTGATTTTTTAAAGGTTTAAATGTAGTTTTAGTTCAGCTGCAGGTCGTCTGTGATGGATTCAAACACAAAAATACAAAAGTAGGACCTCAAAAATGAGCTTAAAGAGTTAAAAGTGAAAGTCCTCAGTACAGAAAAGTTGTTCTTGTTACTGATGTTGATTATATTTTCACAGTTTTATTCCTAATGCATGTTGTGCTTGTACTTTGTCCAGGGCTACATGGATTAATCTGTCGATCCATTAATAAATTGATTATTTGGTTTGTAAAAATTCATAAAATGCTGAAGGATGTTGTCCAGAGCCCAAAGGGACTGAAAAAATAACAACTGTCTTGTTCTAGAAGCTGGAATCCAGAAATGTTCGCTTTTTTTTTTTTTTTTTACCTGAATGATGATCAAAGCAGTTAAATAATCTTCAGTTTGATAATTGATTGTATTTGCTCTTTATGTGGTTTGTAATGAAGCTTTATGTGTCAAAAATGTTAAATTTCAGATGCAAAAATCCGATTTTTGCAAAGACAAGTTTAGTCGGTTTAGTCTGTAAAGCGACGAGTAAACGAGAGGACGAATAGAGAAAGGACGAATCGTCACATTCAGGAAACCTTTAATCAATGATCTCAGTAGTTGATTCATCCTGTAGCTTCACACAGCTGGGAAATCCTCAGAAATACAACATAAATGTGAGTAAATTTAAAGTCTTAATAAGTCTTTAAATAAGCACTGACTGAATTTCAGAGCTTTAATGTTTGATCTGAAGGTTTGATTAATTCAATTATTGATCTTTGATTCCATGAAACAGCAGAAAACCAAAAAACGTTTTGTTTTCAGAAACAAAGTGACATTTTGTTGTTGATTAATCTTCTGTCAAGCTGCAAATTTAATTCTATTTTTTTACGACAATTTATTTTTGACCAAATTAAAAATTACATTAATATCTATTCCGTATTAAAATCGTAGAATTAAACTTTTAAAATATGTGCACATTTGTGCAAAAATAAAAAGTGAAACTTCAAAAAAAAAAGTGAAAACTAATTTTTTAGAACTGATGAATCATTTTAAACATTTTAAGCCAAAAGAAAGTTTTATTTCTCAGTTTTCTATAAACGTAAATTAAATATTTTTGGGGTTTTGGATGAAATCAGAAGTGAAAATATCACTTTTACCAAATTTAGGTGTGCATTTATTCCATGTTTTGGGATTTTTTAAAATCTAAAGTTTACCTTAAACTAATCTTTTGAACATCAATCAGAGACTATTAAAGATAAAAGTCTAACTTTTTAAAAATCATGTCATTGATTTAGAATCTGCAATACTGGACAAGTAGATCAAATAATCTCTGATGTGTGAGTTGAAATATGATCATATAATTCCACAGATAACATTTTAAATGTCCATAGTTTATGATAAAAATGTTTAAAGTAAATCAGAGATGTTTGAGCAGAAAGACCCTGATGTCTTGAGATGAAACAACACACATGTGTATCAGCCTGATTAGAGTTCAACTCACAGATTTTGTTCTTAAATGTTCCTTTGTTGGCTCGCTGTTGACTTTTCTGTCTGGTTTTACACTCTGATGCTGAGGCAGCACAGCAGACAGCTTCTTCAGAGAGATCAACACTCAAAGATTATAACAGCTAGCAATCAGCAGAGGTACCCACCATTTACCATTTAGAAGCTGAAAAGAGAAAAAGAAAGCAGTTTTCCTCTCAGGAAAAGTATCTATTTTAAAACCGCAATGGGAATCACTGACTGCCTTCCACTTCCTTTAGAGGAAAACAACTTTGGGCTTCCAGGTGAAAACCCCTGTAAGAGAAACCCTCCAAAGGTCAGCTGATAGCTGACCCTGGCCAAGGTCAGTCTGTGTTCTTGTCATAAACACCAGAAGGTTTGTGATCCCGGACGAGCCCCCAAAAAAGTTGTGGAAAAACCTTTAGGTCTTCGTTCATACATTGAGAAAAGAGATTCTTCAGACTGAAACTTCCCTGATTTTGAACCTACATCTGTAACACCATCACAGAACTGAGAGCAGTGGTCACTTTAACCTTAAAACACTTCAACGTTTTGTGTTTTGTTTTGATGATGAACAAATGATTACCATATAAATAATGACTTTACAGCTGGGTCTTGTTTCTGTGTTTTTAGGAACCATGGGACCGACCCCGGACCTCGACCTCAACACCTCCGCTTGGCTCCGCCCCTGCGTCAACGCCTCCTGCCAGCCTCCCATCACAGCGGCGACCCACTACAGCACCACCCAGCTGACCCTCATCGTCACGGTGACCGCCTCCCTCAGCGTGGTCACCGTCCTCGGCAACACGCTGGTGATCTTGTCCATCAAGGTGAACCGCCACCTGCGGACCGTCAACAACTACTTCCTGCTGAGCCTGGCGGTGGCCGACCTGATCATCGGCCTGCTGTCCATGAACCTGTACACACTGTACCAGCTGCAGGGCCGCTGGCCGCTGGGGGCAGCGCTCTGCGACGTGTGGCTGGTCCTGGACTACGTGGTGAGCAACGCCTCCGTCATGAACCTGCTGGTCATCAGCTTGGACCGCTACTTCTGCATGACGCGGCCGCTCAGCTACCCGGCGTGGCGGACAGGTAGGATCGCCGGCCTGATGATCGGCGCCGCTTGGCTGCTGTGCTTCATCCTCTGGACCCCGACCATCCTGTGCTGGCAGACCGCCGGTGGACGACGAGCCGTCCCCGATGGAGCGTGCTACACCCAGCTGCTGGCCAGCCCGGCGGTCACCTTGGGGACGACACTTCCATCCTTTTACCTGCCAGCGATCGTCATGATCTGCCTGTACAGCCGCCTGTCGGCCGCCAGCCACAGCCGCCTGAGCGCGCTCCGTTCAGAGCAGGGCACGCTCAGGACGTCCAGCCCCTCCATTAAAAACTTCCTGTTGAAGCGATGGAGCTTGGTGAGCAGTGACCCCACCTCCGATGTTTCTCTGAACCAGTCAGAGTCCAGCTCGCCAAAAACCAGAAGGAAACGGAAGGCCTCCAGGAGTCCTGTTGACACGCTGGTGACGGTGGACAGCTGGAGACACCCGGTAGGTACTGAACAACCTTCAGGAGTTTACATCCTTAAATTTTACCATCCTGAGTGTCTGCACCGTAAATCTGCTTTGTGTTGATTCTGTACATGCTGATCAATGTCTGTTGGGGTTTTCTTGAACAGTTTTGTTGCCTAAATCGATGCTTTGAGCACAAACACAGTCACACACTGTATGTCCTGACGCAAAGCAGTCATTTGTGAAGTTAGAAACCTGTTATCGAAATGGAAATACGTTCACGGGAAATATCCAAAGATAAAGATCGGGGCATTTTTTAACAGATTGCTATTGACTTAAAGTGAAGCCTGATCCTTTGTTTATGTCCACTGTTGTACAGGTGTCATAAATGGGAATATTTTCCTAATGTCAACACCTTTATCGGTCTATAATTGTTTGATTTACAAGCTGCATTCAGCACACTTCTCATTGGTCATGCACTGACATAAACTATTGTTATATTTGCCATCTGATATAGAGACAACGTCCTAATTTTTCCTGGTTTGATCTAATATGTGTGTTGGTTGGAGGTCATTGAGCCTCACAGAAGTCTTTGTCATAGTGTCCCTTTGCCGTCTTACACCCCGACAACGCTCTCTTGCTTTTTAACACTATATTGTCCTCCAGCTCTCCTCACTACAGTATTAAACAATGAGAGAGTCCCCCTGGTGGAACAAAAGGGTACTACAGCTCATGTACAATACCTGAAGTGTAGGAAAAAGGAATCGGTATTGATTGATGCAGGTAATGACTTAGATCAATGAACCTTGTGGTTCTACAGAGACACTTAGACCTGCAAATCCTGATCTCCAGATGTTTGGGTTCATACAAAAATCACAACGATTTCTATGTTTGTTGTCGGTGACTGAAAATGTAAAAATGACCATTCCCACTAAAATCAGGATTTATATCGCAATCGCTGTATTTTTTTGCACATCATTCAGTCCTGACCTGATTCGTCTGTCTCCTCAGCAGCGTCCTGTTCGAACCTCCACCTGCCAAGCCAGAGACGAAGACTACAACAAGATCAATAACGACCCGATGTCCCACACCGACCTTCACCGGACAGCGTCGGCGGCGTTCTCCACCTGCCTCAGCTTCAGGTCTCAGGAGAGGAGGCGGCGTCGAGTGACGGCGAGGGAGAGGAGGGTCACCAAGACCATCCTGGCCATCCTGCTGGCCTTCATCCTCACCTGGACGCCGTACAACGTCATGGCCGTCGTCGCCGCCTTCTGCCACGTGTGCATCCCCAAGATCCTGTGGACCACCGGTTACTGGCTCTGCTACGTCAACAGCGCCGCCAACCCTTTCTGCTACGCTCTGTGCAACATCACCTTCAGGAAAACCTTCTGCAGCCTCCTGCGCTGCCGCGGCGGAAAAGTGAAGTGAAACATCTTTGGCAGGTAAGCTACTTTGTTCACCTTACATGTGGCATTACAGACAATTTTCATCCAAATGAAGCAGAAACTTTAATTGAATTCTGAGAAAATCAGCAAAGGAAAACACAAGTTTATGTTTCCATCCTCTGGTTGGTCAGACAAACAGCATATGGAGCTAATTATCCAGTTAACACCCAATCATTAAGGGAATATATGCTTCTCTTAAATATCTCTTTGAAGTTTATTAACATGGCTAAATAGGATTCCTTGATAATTGAATCAGGACGTTCCACCCACATATGAAGTGTTTTGCTCATTGCCTGTGACTTTATAGCTGACGGTTGGTTGGCTCTGGTTGTCTTAGTTGTGGACATTGTCTGTAGATCTGTTGCGTCCAGGTGGATCAGGTGGTTGATAAGCTCTCTTTAGTCATTGCTGTTACTTTCATAAGTTGTTCCTTTTTTAGAGTAAGACATGGTATCAGACTTACTGGAGAAAAAGGCGAATATAGCCGAGGCGTAGTTACTCTGATAAGATAGTTTCTTGACAACATGGATCTTGGACTGGTTGATTGGTTGGTCGATATACTCTCCTCAGTCTCTGGTGGTACTTTTATGAAGAGAAAAGCTCTACATCAGCAGCCCTCTGGCTTGTTGTCCCAAACTAAAGTTGTATTTTTATTTTTTTTTTAACACAACTGGCAACATATTTAGTGGAGAATTGGCAAATGTAGTCACTTTAGAAATAAGCTGCTTTCCAACAACCTATCATATAGGGTGATGTTGTGTTTATTATTTCCTTGAAAGAACTTCATATTTTATAATCACAATAAAGCCCAGGTTTACTACACATCAGCTGGATCTACATAATTAGGTTTTTCTCTAATAAAGGGGTCAGCAGCCTGCTGGTGGATAGGTCGATTGGCTGGAGGCTCATCAATAATCGGTATTCCTCATAAAGAGAAATGTTCTACATCAACAGCCTTCCAGGTTTAAGCAGTTATTTTTAGCAGTGGGAGGATCAGACTACCTGTGAACATCCCCACGTTTGTAAAACTTCATTGGGAGACTGCTAGTTCCAACTTATTTAATGAATATATGCACAGAATCGAATCCAAACCAGCCGACATGACATCAAGGAAGTCTTTTGTTCGAACAGATGGAGCAAAAGTTGGTTGTAAACTTTGCAAATAACAGTTTACATATTACTGCTTGTGTTAAAACAACCAACATACAGATCATCTACCAAAAAAAGTACCTAAATTATGTCATATTCCTCCAAAGTTCTCGTGTTGTGCTCGCTAGTTGATATAGTTCTAGTTTCAGAAATCCATTTTTATCATTTTATTGCTAAATAACCACGTACAAATACGAGCTTTTTTGTGTTTTAGAATTTGTTTAGGCTAATAAGGATAGCAGGTATAGGGGACCGTTTATTTCATCAACAGATAACATGCAGATGTGTTTTTCTTCAGTCCACGGAGACTTTCTTTGATTGGATGCTCCCATTGGTAGTCGTCTCATAGCTGAGATGGAGAAACTGTATTCGTATGGACATTATATCATCAGTGACCCAAAGAACAGACCAAACTCTTCACCAAAACAATGTACAGTATTTAATTTGTTCATTTATACAAGTCTTGTCATCGTCAATAATCAATCTATAGTTCAAAAATAGATTTCATAGAGGATTTTCTCATTACAGATCTTTTTAAAGGGGATTCTAAACTCCCGTAAAAACAAAACTCGGGACGGTTGGGTGGACGGACCGTCAGGTTCAGTTTCCGGAACGTTAATTCACTTTGAGCTAAGCTTTTAGGACTATCTGAGTGTAACTGTTAAAACAAACTATCAGCTATAAGGATTATTCTTATTATCTAGTGGGAGAAAAGCTTTCCACACTTTAATCCAAGTAAACACAAGAACGTCACATGAGAAACCAGAACAACAGTCAGAGGAGGCCAGACGGAAGGTGGTTGGCGTGTTTTGGAGGAGTCTCTCGGTTTTTTTTTTTTTTTTTGTTTGATGAAGGAGGGAAGACGATTGTTCAGCCGGAGGAAGAAATCCTGCCGTCGTCTGCATCGCGTTGCTTCCTTCAGTTTGACTTCTTTTCCCCTGTTGAAGCAAACAACAAACAGTTAAAATTAGTGACTGTAGTCTGCAAAAAGTGAGGACAAAGACATGCGAAATTACCACAAAGAGACTTGAAATGACCAAAATAAATACAAAAAGACAAGAAAAAAAAACACAAAAAGATGCTAAATGATTCAAAATGGCCCCAAAAAGACCTCAAAGAGATATGAAACAACCACAAAAAGACACAAAATAGCTACAAAAAGAGGCTAAACAACCACACTGTTTAAAAATGATGCAAAATGACCAGGAACAAACACAAAATGACTTTTAAGAGACTTGAAATGATCACAAAGATGTTAAAAACAAACTAAAAACAGATTCAGAGGGACTACACATAGATGCAAAATGACCACAACACAACAAATAACCACAAAAAGATGATGAACAACCACAAAGTATTTCAAAAAGACCACAAAAACATGCCAGTCGACTACAGAGGAAGCACAAAACCCCTCATCCAGAGTTGTTCTGTGTCTGCCAGGTTGTTGTTCCTTACTGCTCTATTATGTTGTCGACTACTGGTAGCTGTTGTGGAGATATCGTCCTTTAGCTACGACATCCTTCTCTGTTCATGTACATTTTTCCCCCACTTATGTTAAAACTCTAGTCATGTAGTATCTCCTTGTGTCTGTCTGGTTGGTTCAGATGTTCTCACAGTTATTTCCTCTTGACTGTAATGTTTAGAATTTACATGTTTGCGATTGCGAGCCCCTTTTTGTTGAGCTATCTGCGGTAACTTCCTTTATGACTGTGTTGGATGGAGGTGTTTTCTGTAGGTCAATCCTGTCCATTAGTGCATATTAAAATGGACCGTTCTATAGATGTGGCTAGTTAAGGACAGGATTAATCAGACCTTCTACAAACTGACAGCACGTCTGCCCGGTACAGTCCCGGAGGAAGTTTCCAAACTCACTGTAAAGCCACATTAAGTACAAGACAAACCGGTAAATTCCAACTGTGACAGTCAGAAGTAAATAACTTTGAGAACATCTGAACCAACCAGACAGAAACAACATGACGCTACACGTGAGACATTTGGGATAACTTGATCAAAAATACATTAGATGGGGTGGCTACCCAGCCAGAGAAGCACATCTTGGCTAAAGGACGTCACTTTAAGATGTTTCCACAACAGCTTCCAGGAGTCATTATAGTCACAGAATCGACTTTGAGGAACATCAACTTAGCCGAAGCAGAACAACTCAAGATTTAAGATTTAGTGACGCTAAATACCTTCTTCCAACCAACAACCCAGGACAGAAAGGTGGTAACATCTCTCATCCTGTCAAAACAACAGTATTACTCAGTGGCAACACCACCACCTCGGCTCTGAGGTGAGATCCAACAACTAGTTAGGAGAAGAAGTTCAACAACAGCTACAACAACCGTGGGGAACACCTGCCTAACCTCGGAGAAGAAACACCCTATATAAATATACAGACGTCCAAAGAAATGCATGGAAGGAACATCTGGCAGAACATCTGGCCACCATCTCAGTAGCTCTGGTTGGAAATGCTTCACATCACATCCCTATCTCCACTGATTTAGTCCACAAGGTTCAGAAACAGAAACTAGCACCGTGTTAAACCAGTTTTATTCAATGTCACCTCACTTTTCTTACCTACTTCTGAGGCCATGGAGACAATTAGGAAACAACTATTGATCCCAGCTCTTTAAACAACAGAACAAACTTCAACCCTGGACAGATATTTTTCCTTTTGGACCTCTATCTGACCACCACCTACTTTCAACACCTCAAATAACCACACCGGAGAAATCAAACTATAGCTTATAGCCCTTGAGGCTACCCCAACCTGGCTAACTGACAATCAATGGGCCTGGAAGCTTTAGTTCAATCTGGAATATTTCTTCTTCATGCTACAGGTCAGAACACATTTCTGATGAACCTCAATGTTTAATGAAGCAGAAAAGCAGCAAATTCACACATTGGAGAAGTTAAAAGCAGAAAGTCGTCGACATTTTAGCTTGAAATCAATCATCAAAAAGTGTTTTCTTTAAATTGAATAATTGTTGCCGCTCTAGTAGAACAACCAGTCAGTCAACACCAAGCTGCTGTTTGTATTCAGTCTTGGAGAATTTTTGTGTTTTTACCGAATCGAAACAAAAGACCAATTTTCTTTTTTGAAAAACACAAGTTTAGAGGATCCTGGACGGGCCGAGCTGCTTGTGAACATTCAGACGTCTCGTTAGAAAACAGTGTGAGCGGTGCGTGTTGGTGTGTGTTGAGGGTTTTCAGCTCTCACCTCTGGCCTTCTTGACTTTGGGGGAGCAGGGTTTGGACACCTTGACGGTGGTCTGACACTCGGCGTTGAACAGCGCTCGCTTCAGCGTTCCCGATCGGCTCTTGGTGTTGGTGGCGGCGTCGCAGGATCCCCACGGACCGAACTTGTACTTACAGTCGCCTGCAGGAACATTTGAAGTGTCAGTGAAGCCGTTTGTGCTGCTGTCACATCTGGATTCATGTTTGAATTATCGTCATGCGTGTCTGATGATTTCAGCAGCTTCTCGTTCCTCTTAGGGGTCGTAATATTTTAGATTTATGTTAGAGTTTGATCTTAGAGGTTTTTATCATGTTCTGTGTTGTGTTTTTAGTGTTTTATATTTACTTTGTTTTCCGAAACGATCCTGATCTTTCGGCATTTATTGCTCATATTGTTGTTGCTGTTGGTCTACAACCTGTACAGGACGCTGCATCAAATCAGAGTTTATCGTAGCATCCATCAGCCAGAGTTGAACAAACAAACTCTCATCAGTAATGTTAAAGGAGATGTTTGCAGTAAAATGACAGATAAACCTCCAGCTGCTCCTTCAAAAGATTTCCTCATATCTATTTGGATTAATGTTGGTCTGAACCAGGTTTGACTTTTAATTCAAATGAATTCCAAAAAACTTCTAGAACAGGCTGAAGTCGATGAAATAAAAGCCCAGAAGCTCAGAGATGTCATGAAGCAAAATGAAAAACCAAAACAGAAAACTAATCAGCTACTTTGATAACTTCATTGTCCTGTGAGCGATGTTTTATTTTGCAGCGAATGACTCCTTTAAAACAACCGATCACCTTTAAATCAAGAGCTCACTGAATTTTCTATTTAACCCTTTGAGGCGTCAGTTTAGCAGAACATCTGACCTTCAGTCGTGTCTATCCTTCAGTTTTTAACGCACAGTGGTGCGTTTTCAGCGTCTCAAACTTGCCTAGACATCATGACGTATCTTTGCAATGCATTGTGGGTCAGAACGGTCAGAAAAACTGGTTTACGTAGGACAGAATCCAACCAGATGTAGGAAGACAACCGGGTAGTTTTTGGCAAACTGTGTATTTTTACTCTATCAGTATTTAAATTCATCAAAACATCTGTATAATACCACTGATATTGTTTATTTTTAGAAGTAGTTTGTGTGTTTATTTTGGTTTGTTTTTATGTTTTGTTCTACATTCCTTAAATGCTTTCGCTATCTTTGCAGCTGTAACACTGCAAACTTCCCCACTGTGGGAATTAATAGATAAAAATATCTTGTCTTTTACAAACTATGAACTGGGATAAACAAAAGCTTATTCTGGTAGCATCGGTATCTGAACGGTTGAAACTGTTTGATCAGGATTGTGTGTATGGACACATGTGGCCAGCAGATGTCGCCATTTTTAAATCTAGAAAACTGTAAAATATGCAAATTATTTATCTCTTGCCACAGTTCACTTCTCTGTGGCGCTGTACATTGTAAGTTTCCAGATATACAGTATATATTTCTGCTCCTGTGGCCTGTCAAAGCTCTACTCCTCCTTTCAAACCCTGCCTACAAGCAGCGTGTTAAACCTGCTGATAAATGCTGTGTTGTGGTGTTTTTGTGTTGCCGTGTGCTGCGTCTTACTGATGTCCTTCTTCCAGTTGCAGGGGATCCTGCAGGGGATCTTGTCGGTCCGATCTTTGCAGGTGGCCTCCCTCAGACCGTCGCCACAGTCTCCGTGCTCCGGCACACATTTCCCGTACTGAGTCTCTGCAGAGGAGCACTCGGAGGCCGGCCGGGATTTATCATGTTTACCTGATGAGCAGAGAGTCGGTCAGAAAAAAAAAACACATCCTGAAGAGGACGCCAACAACGCCTTAAAGTTTAGACAGTTTCACTCAGCAGCAGCTTCCATCAGTCAGAAAATGTTGAGTATTTTATTTCTTTTAGGGGTTAAACACATTTACAAAGCAGCTTGTTTCAGAGAACGCTCAGTTTTTCATCATATACATAAAATAAAATATAAAAACTTCACATTTATGACTTTTTTTTCTCCTCTACATATTCAAACTCAAACTGTTTGTTTTACAGCTACAACACTGAGTGGATTCATTTTTTATTACTGTCTCTGCATTAATTTATTTCTGTTGGATATAAGGAGCATCATGTTTTTATCTGTATATTTTTCTGTATATTTGTTATAATTAAGTTGTTTACTCTTTGTTGTCATATATGTTCTGTAACTGTAATTTGACTGTTTACAATAAAGTTTTTTGGGCAGACTTGTGATTTACTACACGATTTAAAGTGTAACTTATGAATTATATATTTTTAATCCATGAGTCGTGTTTTACTTTTAATACTTTATCTATACTTTACTGCTAAAACCTCTTTAAAAAGGCTAATTATTTTTTTTGTCTTCGAGTGTTTTCATCGTCTTTTATATAGATTGATGATGGAAATATTTTGTCTATCACTGTATCAGGTCTCGTGAGAAACAACAAAGACATAACAGAAAGTTTGTTAGCAAGTAAACACAATGTCAGCAGCACGGGATTCAGAATATTAAATAACAAACAGTTTGGCAAATGTACATTAACAGAAGTCAGATCAAAAATCTGTGTAATATCTAGCACAGAAATGAGCACATGTATGTGATACAAACACAACACTAACAACTATGTAAGTTCACCATTTAACAAAAAGAAAATAAAATGACCAAAAAGTGATGTAAAAATACTGTAAAAGGTGTAAAATGACAACAAAAGATGCAAAACAACAATAAAGAGACCCAAAACAAACACAAACAGACGCAAAATGACCACAAATGGATCCAAAATAACTGCCAAAGGTGCAAAATAACCACAAAAGAGGCAACGCTCCCTTAAAATGTTGCAAAATATGCCAAAAGACCACATCAAGATACAAAATGGGCCTAAAAAGATGCAAAATGATGACAAAGAAACACAAAATAGCCACAAATGCGTGCAAAATTAGTACCAAAGACGTCACTAATGATACAAAACAACAATCAAAAACTCAAAATGAACACCCCAAAATCCAACACAGCTATATAAGATGGCTAGAAGGAAACATAGAATGTTGCAGAAAATCCAAAAAATGACCACAAAAACATGCAAAAAAATACACAAAAAGATGAAAAACAACTACAAAGACATGCAAAATGACAACAAAAGACACAAAAACACCACATAAAGATGTAAAATGGTCCTAAAAATACACAAACTGATGAGAAAGAGACACTGAATTATTGCAAAAGATGGAAAACCACCGCAAAAAGGTGCAAAAATGACCTCAGATTGACATAAATCCTGCACCATGATCATCTTTTAAGGACTGTTGTGATGAATCTAAGTCCAGGATTCTCTCTTTTAGCTCTGAGTTTGGTCTCCTCCACCTCCTGAGGGAAACATCGGGCTGTTTAGCTGCTAAATGCTGCACTTTTGTTCACCAGCTTGTCTTGTTTGATCCTAAATCTCTGCACCTTCATCATCATGTCATTTTTAATAAAACAGAAGAAGCAGCGCAGCTTTAAAGCCAAAATAAAAACAAACCTCTGAAGGCAGATGACTGGAGCGACAGTGTTGCTGCATTAGCATCACTGTGCTGCTAAAAAACCAGAACACGACTGGAATCCAAGAGTCAACACGTGTGAGGGCTTCTCTACACGTTTCACTGTAAAGGCTCGTTGAGTTTTTAGAACAGCACGACACATTTTCTCCAGAAAAACCGGCTCTTCTCGCTCTTTCGCCTTCAATTACTGCCGAGAACATTCCTGCAGTTATGATGTACATTCTGGGAACATCGTGAACAGAAGCAGCCTGACGAGATGTTTTTCTCTTTACATTAAATATGAAGCTGCTGCTTAGCTTAGCTTAGCTTAGCTTAGCTTAGCATACAGAGAGTCAACAGAAAAAGTTCGCCTGGCTCAGTCCAAAAAGTCCAAAATGCCCCTCTTAGCACAAAATGCGCTAAATATCCACATGTTACATCCAGTCAGTGTAAAAACCGACAGCCGGCTGGTTTCTACTCTGTGCTTTGGTGCAGATTAAACAGAGCAGATACAACATGAGGATTATCTGTACAGGTGCTTCAGACAGAGCTACGCCAGCTGTTTCCCCCCAGTCTTTATGCTAAGCTAAATTAGCCGTCTTCTTTGTGGGTTTATTGTCACTGACGGTCGATAAAGAAGAGCTCACCTTTCTGTCCTTTGGGCCTCCTGTTGGCCTCGGCGCCGAGCGTCAGGACCAGGAACAGCAGCAGCGTCACGGAGAACAAACTTCGCATTCTGCACACAGAAAAACAGGCAGTTAACAATTCTGTAATTATTCATCAGTCAGTGAGAAAGTGCAATCTGAATATCTGAATGTGAGATCTTTAAACTGTATGTTATCACACCAACAACAGCCTGTTGGCTAAAGGATGCTCAAACATTTCATCTTCTTATCTGAGACAACAAATAACTAATCTCTGCATGTAATTACGCACCAAAGCTAAGAATTAAACTGTTTGTTGCGATAATTTAATACACATTTAATTCAGACATGAGTGCATGTGTCCACAGATGTGTTACTGAAGTCCATGTACAGCCACAGACCCTGTATGTAGAGACACAGGCTGAAAGAGATGCAATATCGCTATAAACAGATTAGTGGACAACTGCACATAAAAACAAAACACAAAACAACTGCAAAGTGGCACATAATGGCCATAAAAGAGACTTAAAACACATACAAAGATACACAAAAAACCTTAGAGACAGAAAACAACGACAAAGACACAAAATGACCAGAAAGCGATATAAAAACAACAGACGGATACAAAAGAACCACAAAGACACAAAAGAACCACAAAGAGACACAAATCAACCTGCATAAGGAGACTCAAAACAACCCCAGAAATACAAAACAACTACGAATTGACACAAAACAATCTCAAAGAAACAGGAAATGAC